CAAGCAGCTGCATGGTATTTAGTCACTGGTTGGGCTTAAACCATGACAAAGGGCAACACAGCAGAGGGCAGGCAATCCAGGAGATGCCTGGATTTCTACTTAGCAGTAAGTAACTTAACATAAGACAAACTTTTCTACTGTAAAGGGTGGTCAATCACAGGAACAGGTTTACCCAGAGAGGTTGTGGAGTCTCCATTTTTGGAGATGTTCAAAACCCAGCTCAACATGGCCCTGAGCAACCTGCTCCAACAACACCTGAGCAGGGTGTTGGACAAGGCACCTCCAGAGGTCCCTTCCAACCCCAGTGTTTCTGCGCTGCAGCCAGAGCAGTTACATAGTCCACCCTGCCTCTCCTCTGTGGGGAAGACAAAGACCTCTCCCCCTTCTACCATAATCAAGGGTATCTGTTGAATGTTGGGAGAGGAGACACAGGAACTAAAGCAGCTAGAGATCATCAGATAACTCACCCAGCTTCTCTTCACGCTAGGACAAAAAGCCAATGGTCAGAGAGATAGCTCAATGGGCTACAGGTAGGACATCCCTAATTTCAGCATTCAAAGCCTGCTTCTACTCTAATTGAGAGAGGCCAAGGAGGCAGTGCCTGGGCAGTGCTTCCTGCCTCTGTGATGCCTACCAGTCTTCAGGGAGGAGAAAGCGCTCTCCAAACAACCCCCAACTTCTTACCCGAACACCATGGTGCCATCCTTCCGGATGCCAAACTGAGCGTTTTGCAGGCCTCCAGAGTTTTTCACCAGCTTTCCATCACTCACAACGTTCCCAAGACACTCTCCGGTTCCCATGTCAAAGTACCCGCCGTTCTGGGCCACGAGACACTTCCCGAGCTTTGCGGTCTCTTCCACGGGGGCTCTGCGTTGAGCCTGGCAGCCTCCCACACCGCCCGGCTCTAGCACAGAGAAGGTCCTCAGGGGGTTCCTCACAAAAGTGAAGTGGCCATAGACCACCTTGTGGTCCTTGCCCTCCGGGGGGACGTACGAAACGAACGTTCTGGTGGTAGCCACTGGGCCGCCCGTCCTGTTGTCGCTGGGCCAAGTTTCGTGTGTTACGTTGCCGTACTTGAGGGGCTGACAGTCTCTGACGTACCTGTGGTTGTGCCGCGGGCCGTGCCGGGAGGGGAAATAGGGCTGCAGCAGAGGGTCGCTGGGGGGGCTCCTGCAATGAGAAGATCCGTTTGCCCCAAGGCTGCCCCGGCAGAGCCCGCCTGCAACCCCGCCTGCTGCGACACGAGCTGCTGGCCTCGGGGAAGGCCTCACCGACGTCCCGGGCCCCGCTTCCCCCCTCCCCCCGGGCAGTCCCCGGTACCGCTGTATCCCACCCCGGCTTAAGGGGGGGCTCTCTCGCTTAGTAGCCGCACCACCGAGCCGACCTCGGGGCACCGGCTCGGCGGCGCCCGGCCACAGCCCCAGGAGCGAGAGCGGAGCGGCGCTACGGGCCGGGAAGGGACCCCCGCAGCCCTCTACCCTCTGCCGCCCGCCCCGGGACGGCGGGGCTGGCACCGCCCCGGGCACCCCCGCGGACACT